ATATATATATATGTATATTCTTAAGAATTGCCATTTTTAGCCGTCGTGAGGTTGCCAAAGCTGTTCTTATTGTTGTTTTTGTCTTTGTTCAATGGCTGACGTTTCGGCGACTTCTCATTCCTCAGTGCTTGGACGCATTATATGTAACAGTAGCCCCACAAATTCGGTGAACTACATACTATTAATGAAGATTCAGCATATGAAAAGACTCCAATTCTCAAAACCATCAACCGTGCCGCTACCCGTGTGTCGTCCACGAGGGATGATGAATGAGACCCACCCATGGGGATGTGCGTCAAAAAAACATTCCGAGATTAGGTGGAATATTAGGTGTAATAGTGAGGCATTCGTCTTCCCGGTCCATCTTTGGACTTTTGAAATTAATCCAAGAACTTCTGAAGATACGCATTGATGTACTAGATTCCTGTGTTATCCCGCCCGCCTGATCCGGCCATTCACTTCAAGGTCACCGCCATTGTACTTTTGTGCCCTATTTAGCAAGAGGAGTAGTTTGTCGAATTTTAGCTTTTCCATCTAGATATTCTTTTACGCACAGTTTACCCGTTTCTTCTATGTATTGATCACCACATACCTCATACGAGATCGAGTATATTGTAATTCCTTCCCTTCTTCTTCTCCTGTGCCTTCTTTTACCTGTTCGGTACCTGTTTTTGATGAGAGATTTTTTCACGTGTGAAAGATGAGAGGGGAGGAAGTGCATTAGTATATTTTTATTACTTGGTTTTCGATGCTATTTTTTTATGTAGCCACTTTCTAAAAGCTTCATTTGGATGTTTAAAAAATGTAAGCCAGTCCTCTGTGGATTTTCGTCGCGTAAATTTTATATACTCCGACTGTCCGTCTAACAATTCGAAGCAATCGTTCATCTGTCCTTCTGTGGAACAGACGACAAAACAGTCGTCTCTATATCGACATTACAGTAAGAGTGGGCTATCGAGAACTGGAGCTTCCACCGTAGACATAGAAGCGATGCATTGAAGCTCGGCGTTTATCTCTGTCCTGTGACGTCTTATTTGCGCAAAATATCCTCACGACAACTTAAAGATTGAACAACTAAGACACTTCTGAGAAGGTCATTAGTTGTTAGATTGACAAGCTATAAATATTTGTTTTTTTTTCATGTTCTACAAGTAGCTCGAGAATATCTTACATTGCGGAGTCATTCGACAGATTGGTATAAAGTGAGGTAACACCAAACGACTCCATTAAATACCTGTTTGGTAGCGCGCCACTAGGTGATCTAGGAATATTTTATGGGCAGATGGATTGGTACAAATTTTAGTAGCTAGTTCAAGATAAGGCTTGCGAACCATGTTAATCTATCTGTTGGGCCGTTGGGCCCACATATACAACTGATGATTGGTCTAACCTTAAAAGATGACGGCTCAATGGACGCAAAATCATCATCAGAAGTAAGCTTGTGCCGTAATGAGCAAGTATAGGACAGCACAAGTTGGATGTTTGTTCTTTGGCCGAGAAATAACTGAAGGCTCTAAGCCGGCTGTCTTTACCGTATTGACCGAGGCCCTTCTTAACGTTCGGTATTGATTTCTACACTCCTTTTCAGAAGATGGTCGGCAGAGAAAAACATCTTTGAGGTGTTTCTCTGCTTTTCTATGATCTAAATAACCTGGAGCAACTAACTACAAATTCGCCATCTTTGTCACAAATAGATAGTCGGATGGATTTTGAATTTATAAGGTCTCTCACCTGGAGCGTACGATTTTCATACAACTGTAAATTGGAGCTCCATTTTGTATGCTGGTAATGATTAAGTACTTAAAAAACTTGTTTCGAAAATAGGTGGAAAGCAGTGTCAATCTCCCTATGGTTGCTCTTCCCTATAAAAAGCTCGGGAAGAAAATTTTGGTTGTAATTTCCCTCTTTATCTTTGGACACCTAACATTTTTAGCAAATTAACATATCGAAAAGTGCCTAAAATTTCGGCAACTACGAAACATTATCAGTTCTGCCGGCGTTTATCCGTTCTTACCTACTATCAAAGAAGTCACCACCACTTCACTTCGCAACTACTCGCAACTACCTCGAGATTTCCTATGTATTTTATTTGTTACACGACCCAACTTCACATACGCCATAATGTGGAAATCGCAGCATTTCTTGCGTCCGTTTCGTTTCTTCGCTCCCACAATCGGCTAAAGTCTCCCAAAAATTATTATTCTTCCATGGAATCCTGAGACATCCAAGCTAGGGCACTGCCATGTGTATTGGGAGTACTTTAGTCACAGACAAGCTTTGGCACCTATTTTCTGAGAAAAATTTACTGTCTTGTGATATAGATCCATTCACGACAGCAGCGTTTCTTTCCATTACTCAAATGACCGATTGAGGACTGTGTATTAGGTCTAAATGATGGGGAGCAAATGCTGCTTATTTTATTTTACATGACCTGTTTTCACCTCTACTGTGGGGATTCCAGCACTTCTTTTATTCGACTCGTTATCTTCGCATCCATTGTCACGACGTTCTTCGGACATTTCACGTGCGGGTTAAGCGGCAGCTTGGTGATTGTTGCCATCTTCATGAATGTCGTGAATTGCTGGTCGAATAGATTCTCCTTCGATTCCTGGGATAACGGTACTAGAGCGCTCCTGCACAGACTTCTCATATCAAATTCCCAATCACGCAGGGGGCGGAGGTGGGGTCGAACCAGTACCGTGCTCGTAATTAATCGCATCTCTACCACTGCACTACCCGTTCCCTACAACACTTGTTAGGTCTTCAAAAAATTATTTCGGTTACTTATTTCTGGTCTATTCGCGTGGCGATTCAAATAACTTGCGTACAGGTGTAGACTTGCGAAATTGAGAAGAAAAAGTCCTAAATAATCGACAGTATAAAATGCTTAGTTAATTGTATAACAGTACTAATTCTGGACGACTATTAAGATCTCTACGCACGGCAAGTCTAATTCAAATAATGAAACTTGGAACAGACAGGTGCATTGTTATGTTATAGGAACATATGAAGTTCTTTTTCATTTTAGAAAAAGTAGCCGTAAAAATAATGGATCGAACAAAAATGGATGCTAAGGCACAACGGTTACTGGATCGTGAAATCAAATCAATGGAACATATGAATCATCCGAATATTATTCGTCTATTCGAAGTACGATTCTGCAACTTGTCGTCGTTTTAAGTGTTACTGATCGAGTTGATCTGATTTAGTGTGTGGAAACATTAACTAGAACACATTTGGTAGTTGAATATGCTGCTGGAGGAGAACTTTATGCCTTCGTTCATGAACGAGGAAAACTAACGGATGCGGATGCGAAACCCTTATTCGCTCAAATTGTCGCCGCCATTTCACATATGGTACGAATCTTTGGTAGTTTTCGACGTTTCTGAGTATGGACAAAAAGTGTTTTGCAGTTTAGAGTAATAATTTCTGTTCTATAATGAGTTTGTAGTATAACAAAATGCAATCATGAGTAGGTCTCTGTGAAAGGTGTGTGTGGCGCAGCGATCGGAGGGGCCCTGAAGCACACACGTGGAATCGATCTCCGAGCCCATGCCCCACCAAGATTTCCATTCCTCAGGGATAGGCAAATTGGTACCAGACTTGTCTAGGAGGATAGCAGTAGTAGCTCGATACATCAGTAGGCCACGGCGCGTCTTTGTAAAGGCCAGATATGCGTTCAATCGCCTCCGAACGTTGCTTAATGAAGTCGAATGCATGGCGCATCCCTCAGAAATTGGTCAACGACGAGAGCTTTATCTTTTAATCTTCATGAAGAGGTTCGAATTTGTATTTGAGTTTGTGAACACGTTTTCATTAGACATTCAACAATGTCTTAAATTATTTCCTCAGTGATGAGTGATTTTTGTGAAAAATACTGTTTATATGGAAGATTGCTGTGTGACAAAATTCCTGGATTTCAACAGATTGCGTAGTGTTTCAGTCCATGGCAGCTTACTTTCGTGAATATAACTGTCCATGTAGAAAATTTCTATGAATTATGGCCAGAGGAATCTTTCGATGTCCTTAGCTCATCCGCTGGCAACTGCCAATGCTTTTAATTCTACTAATACCTCTTCACCAAAATTTTTCTCTTCCCATCGAGCTGAATTAAATCATAGCAGTACTTAATAGAGACGATTTTGAAGAGTCAGATGTTGAATTATATATATATATATATATATATATATAATTCGTTGGAATTCATCGAATGTATAGAATAGCACAATGGCAGTGATGTCTGGCATCACGAGCACGGTGCGAGCTTGATTCCGCTCCGGGCCAACCAAGCCTCTCATCCCTCCGAGGTTAGGAAGTTGGTTGGTGCCGGACTTGTCTGGAAAAAAACCACTCTTTGCAATCCAGTTGGAAATGCTCAAGCCCGGTTATCTCAGAAGTCCAGGGATAAATGTTCGACCAATATTCTACGACATTGAAGATGAAATGAAAATCCTCAAGCAGCAACGAAACCACACGTAAAAACTTGGAAGACCTTCGCGGGCGATGAATGCGAGGAAACGAAATGGATGTGAGAAGTGCTGGGATCCGCACAGCAGACGTGAAAACGGATCAAATAAAATAAAATAACATAAAAAATATACACAATATATAGCTTTGCCAAAAAGAGGAGAAAAAGTTCTAAATAACCAAAAGTAAAAAAGTTGCTTAGTTAGATATAAATCAGTGGTACACATATAAAAAGAAGGGCAAAGCTCTCGGCGTTGGTCAATCCCTGAAAATGCGTCGTGAATTCGATTGCATTAAGCATCGTTGGAAGTGATTGAATGAGTATATGGCCTTTAAAATGATTCGCGGTGGCCTGCCGATGTATCCAGCTAATGCTGCTATCTTTCCAGACGAGTCTGGTACAAATTTGCCGAACCCGGAGGAATGGAAGGCTTGATGAGCAGTGGGAGCGGGAGCGGGAGTCCATCGCATGTGCGTGTTGGAGGGCGCCTCCGACCACTGCGTCACACGCGCCCTTCTACTATATATATATATATGTATATATCATATATACGTATATACATTTATATATACATTATGAAGAGAAAGAGAGAAGTAGAAAGGAATGGAAATAGAATATAAAAGTAAAGAAAAGAGAGTGATTTCTAAAAAAGTCAATTTGAACCGCTGTGTAGTCCAACGCTAATTGTAAGCAGACTATAAAATATCAAGGTATAGGTCAAAAACCTTCTTTATTTTATGTTTATTCTTCGAATTTGTACTTACATTCAGCGATTTTATACTTAATATTGGTTTTTCTATTTTTGTTGGAAGAATTTCTGCGTGCCTAAAGGCCATACATTTCTACCCTTTTTCACCACAAAAATACATTTAACATAAAGAGCTTTTTAGGCAAAAGAAAAGAGCTTTCTTAAAAGGTAAACGCTAAGCTCCCAGCATTCGTGAATCCCTTAGAGATGCGTTTGCATTCGATTCCTCAAACTATCGTTGGAGGAGATTGAATACGTACCTAACCAATGTAATGACTTACGGTTGTCTATTGCTGCATTAAGTCAGTGGTGCTATCCTCTGAGACAAGTCTAGAAGCAATTTGTCGTTTGGGGTGGAACGGGGGAACGATCCAGTGTGTATCGATTGGCACCTTTAACCACTGAGCTACACCCATCGTAAGAGAGAGACGAATCGAATGCATTGGCACGTGGAAATTCACGAGATTTGGAGTGCAATTCGGGAGGGCACGTTTAGCACGAAAATAACCTGTAATTTTGGAATTTCTCATAGTGCAACATTTTCAGCACAAGAACAATTTGGTACATCGCGATATAAAACCCGAAAATATTATGTTCACGGAACCCGGTATTGTAAAGTTAGTAGATTTCGGCTTCTCTTGCATGATTCCATCTGCGACCCAGCAATTGACGACGTTCTGTGGCAGCCCACCGTACGCAGCGCCAGAATTATTTCGGTAGGATTTTTTTTTGCTTCTAGATAATTTTATCGTAATTTTTCCTAAGAAGTCACATTTTTCTAAGATCCACCCGACATCACATTTATCGTGATGGAATATTTATAAAGAACATTAAGAAATTTTGTATAAGTGCCTATATAAGTATCTTCATAGCAACGGTAGCACGAATAAATACTGAATAATTCACATCAGATTTACCTTGCATGGTTCTCATTTATCTCAGTTGGAGTTGGTATAGCCGAAAGTAAATGTTAAACAATTGCGGTTCAGAACAAGATAGAGAAATCTGTAGTCTCAAGACAAAAAGAGAGTTCAGTAATAAAACTAAAAAAGCTTTTGACCTTTATCATTCTCTTAGGGATGCGCCATGCATTCGACTTATTTAAGCATCGTTAGAGGAGATTGAATGCATATCTGACTCATACAATGACTCGCAGTTGCGCACCGATCTATCATGTCAATGGTGATATCCTCCCAGACAGATCTGGCAAGAATTTATCGATCTCGTAGGGATGGAGGGCCTGGTCAACCTTTGCCGAGAGATGGAATCCATGTGTATTGCAGGGGTGTCTAACCACTGCGCTAGAAATCAACAATATTAAGAATCGTTAAGCACAACTTTAAGAAACTTGAGAACTTTAAAGCGCAACGTTTGCTCAACAAAAATACGAAGAAAACAACTTTAAGAGTTTGTTTCTTTTTTTAGTGATGAAAGTTACAATGGACCTAAAGTGGATATTTGGGCGTTGGGCATCTTGTTACATTTCATGCTTGTTGGAGTGACACCATTTCGAGGAGAGTCCGTGTCGCAATTAAAGAGGGTATTTAAATTTGAGTTTTTTAAAAAATATATTGATAAAGTTGTGCCGCATTTGCTTGCAATGGTAAGAACTCAATAGAAAACAGCGGTATGTATTACATTGGTTTCATTTGCGCATGTATTGGTTGGTTACTTATCCAGTCATGTTAAAGAACAAATACAAATATTGCAGCTAGTAAAGGAAAGTTGGGTTCTGCCGCGTACTTCATCTTTTATCTACGTTGAGCTTCCTACTTAATTACTAATATTTGTGAGCACAATGCAGTCTGACGGCGTGCATTCTATACAACAGTGCACGATGCGCGGAGTGGTCGAGATGAGTTATATAGGGGTCATTTTCTTTCTGGTCGTTGATTTTGGCGCACAGAACCTTTTTTTCCACGCTTTGTCTAGTCGATCGATATATTATGGAAAACAGGTGTGCTATTCTTGGTCGGAAAAGCTCCATTTTGCACTTATAGGTACTTGAGAAATCTTTTCTTGAGCGACAACAGTGATTGGTGCTTTGACAGGCAACTGACTGTTATTTCACCCCTAATCATTGTAACGAATCATGGTATCCATAAGTAGGTACAAAAGACTTCCAAATGCTGACAGTAGTGTGTTTATATGATGGACCATTATAACTTATAGTAAACAGTAGCATACATGCCATTCATAGCCAAAGAACGATAGAACAAAATCTCTTCTAGAGATTTACAATGTTCATAAGCCTCGAAGTCTCCTAGTTGTCCAAAAATTATCGTTTATTGTAAATAAAAAATAAGCAAATCATAAACTCTGAAAACACAGCATCTTCCCAAGCAGATTGCGAACGTTTTAATACTAAATTAATGCTGCCATAAGCAATCACCTGTCAGCAGGATTGATCTGAGGAGCACAAACCGGCAATGAACCCAGTTAAGCTGAGGTTGTAGTCGAAGTCACAATGTTAACCTTTTATTTGTTTCCTTCTATAATTTCACGACCGGATATGGTCTGAGATACAAACACAGCGATGCTGAGAGATTCGCAAAACTTGTGTAGGCAGCAAATAAAAGCTTAACATTGTGATTTCGACTACAGCCTCAGCTTAAGTGTGTTCAATACCAATTTGTGCTCCCCAAATCAATCCCGTTGACGGGTGAATGCCGATGGCATCATTAGGTGAAAAACTAGCTGAGAGAAAGGGAAAGCAAGAGCTCAGTGGTGCATTGTGTAACGCGCCAACCCCTGGAAAGAGTAATCGTGGTTAGATCCGGGTTTGATCCAAGTTTTGCGAATATCTCGACATCGTTGTGATTGTAGCCTGCATCGTACCATGCCGCGAAATTATAGTAGGCACCAAATGAAAGGTTAACATTGCGATTTCGACTAAATTAACGTTATGTGGTAAGTTAGAATATTTAGTGAGCACATAAATTGCGATGCTAAGCGGCTTCATTTTCAGTAACATAGAGCAATACACTGAGACGCCTTATATATTAAATTTAAAAATATCGATAATTTGTAAATTTGAACTTGTCTAACGTATTGTCTAACGTTGTTGTAAATAGGGTAAAGTTCAACAACAGTAATTGCATCCGCCTGAGCTATTACATTGATCACTTACCAGTTATATCTTAACCATAAAGGAAAACTTTAATTTTCGAGCTCGACTTCAATCTCCGGGTCTTTCTATCCTTCAACGTCTCTATCTTCGTTTTCTGCCCTACACCTCTAAAAAACATCATTTTCAGTCGATTCTTCAAGGTTCATTCACATTGCCCATGTATCTTGACCATTCATCTCGAATTCTCATCGAGAATATGCTGTCTATGGATCCGTACAAGAGGCCAAAAATCGAAGACGTAAAGGTTTCTTTTGTAGTTATGTTCTTTTTCTCTGCAATTTAACTTGAATTCAACACAAGCATACTTTACGAAACTCTATTCTCAGTCTGATTTGCTGGGATATCTCTTCTGTTTATATTTTTTGTGAGATAAAACTGCTGACAGAAGTTTAGAGTTTCAGTAAATGTTAGTAAATGCAGATGTTATAAGTAGGTTAAAATGACACCTGTAACTGTGTTTCTACTTTAAAACACTAGTATTAACAGTTCCCAGGATCGACTTTCTTTTAACCTCGGCATTGGAATATAAATGTGTCGTTTTCTTGTTCAGCAATCGCGAGGTTTTTAAACAGCATACATTTACTTCCATAAAAACACAATACAATACAACGCTAGCTGACGTTTCGGCAGTATCGCCTTCTTCAGAGCCGCTTTTTCGTGACTTCCAATGAGAAAGTCTAGAACAGCTGATTATAGTCGCATATGGTTGACCACTGGTATTAACGTTGTTGTAGAAATCGCTTTGGCTTCGTGAATGTCGATTCCCATCAACATATTTGAATTTATTGAGCCGTGAGGAGAATAAAGAAGAACAAAAAAGCGAGATCTCGAAAAAGGTGGGCACAACTATTTTCGGATTGACATGCTCATATCGATATTGGTGAATAAAAAAACTGAAAAATTACTAGAGTTATAGCGATTCCCATTGCCAATGTCATATAATATTTACTATCATAGTTCCATGAAAAAAAAACCGTTATTATTTCTACCTTAACGTTCACCGGAAGCTTATAAAGATAAAAAGCCGCCACATCTTTCAAACACATACGAAACAGAAGTCGTTTTGAAATGGTTCTCATTCCTAGCGATGTCAGTTCTCCGGAAAATAACGAAATTGAGACGAAATCGAACCAGATGGGTTCCTGATAGCCTATTAACGCTTAGTGGGAAAACTACGCATCCAAGTAATCTTGCTACGTCCAATTGAATGGGGAAGTAAACATGATCGACTTAGTATCAGATGTGTACAGGAAGCGTAAGTTGTTCTGGCAGTTCACAAGAGATTTTGAAGAACCCGTGAAAGAGAGTTGTTTTCTACGTATTCTTAGATTCCATTGGGTTAGGTCAACCCCGAACTTCTGGACGCTGCGTTTTCTTCTACACATGACACGAAATCACATTTATCACACTGTGCGTGTCTCAGCACTTCTTGTATCCGATTTGTTTCGTTGAATGTACAATCCACAGAGCTGTTCGAACGTTTTTTCGTGTAGCTTTGGGGGCCGTTTGAGGATTTTTCGTCTTTTTCACGAATTTCGTAGAATTTTGGTCTAGTTCATGCTTCCTGAAATCCTAAGATAGACGTGCTGAGTCGTTCCAACGTGGACTGGAGGATTTAGCTTGTCCCAGACTATTCCAGTACCAATTACTACAATTAGTACCAATTACGAGTACTGACCCTGGAGCGATGCGAGGCTTAGTTGTCTCGAAGCAGCGTCGAACTAGGGCATGGATAGGTTGGACGGTCCGCCTAATGAACGGAATCGTTATCACCGCCCTACTCGCTCCCTAGAAGCTGTATTTAAGAAAATTGCACAAGCTGTTAGTGCTTTCAAGAAAGCTTTCAATAATGCCTCGACAGCGGTGCTAGAAAATCTCAGCCCAAGTCAGATGTGGCGAAATGTGAAAAATTCTGTCTTAGATCTTTTGTCCAAAGCTATTGATCCCACAAGTTTCCACTTTTTACATGTTACATGACCCGTCATCACACCTACTGTGCAAATCCCAGCACTTCTTGTATTCGATTCGTTTCCTTACGCCCAGCGCGCACAATGGTCTCCCAACATTTCCCGAGTTGTTTCAGCTGCTGCTTGAGGGTTTCGCCTTCATTATGAATGTCGTAAATGCTGATCGAGCCAATTTTCCTTCAGTCTTGAAGACGGTCGGGCTAGGGCACACACGGATTGAAGGTTGTTGATTTATTGTCACCCAATATTGTTGACTTTTTCCAGCTGGGTTCAACACCGATTTGAGCTTCCCGGATCAATCACGTTGACGGGTAATTGCTGATGGCACTGATCTGCGGTGCAGACTTTTGCAAATATCTCGGCATCATTGTGGTTGTATTTCGCATTATACCCTTCCTTGAAAGATTATAGCAGGCAGCAAACAAAAAGCTAGCATTGTGATTTCAACTACAGCCTCAGCTTAACTGTGTTCATTGCCGACTTGGCCTCCCTAGATCAATCCCGCTGACGGTTGATTGCTGATGGCGCTGATCGATCAAACTAGCTGACCGAGAGGCGAAACGAAGGACACGCATGCTGTGGTGGTGAACGCGTTAGCCCCTGGAAAGGGTATAATTTGGAAAGCGCGTTCGTTCCTCACCGCGGACAGCTGCGATCTGGAGTTTTGCAGATATCTCAGCGTCATTGTGGTTGTATTTCGCATTATAGCCTACCTTGAAAAATTATAGTAGGCTGCAAACAAAAAGTTAGCATTGCTGACTTTGTTGGATAAACGGGATAAATGTATTGCTTGCATTCCAAACGAGTGGAGCTTTATTGAGCAACGCTGGTATGAGAACGAGATGAACAGAGAATTTGCTGGCGCTACTCAAGTGGTCCATCCACCAGTGGATTAGCAATGTTATGAGCTTATCTGAATATTCCACCGACACGTTTAACACGATAGTGTGCGTGAAATCTACTCTTTACAGTAAATTTTGCTTCCATCATCGTGCGCGGTCCTCTTAACTGGGAAAAAGATTGGTGCTCACATTCGGAAGGTCACTTGAAACAAACAATTGCTAGGAACCGTTTTCTCAAAAGCAATCTAGTGGTAAAGCGTAAATTTCCTGTGATTCACAAAGCCCACGGCCTAAATATAGAGAAGAATTGCAAACAACATAACACGACTATAGTTGAAATACGAAAGAAATTACGTCATACTAACAAAATACAGAGCTAATTGGAACTTGTTGTGATACCAGCATGAATTATGTATGGGAAATCGAAAAGCATCCGTCTACGTATGGCTCTGAAGACTGAGAGGCGACTTAGTCGTATTACTAGAAGCGCGGAGTCACAGTACTCCACATGAATAATGTAACACTACTTTTTGAGTCAGTTATCAAATTATGCATACATAAGTAGCAACGTTATACTTTCATGTTTATAGGTCTGGTCCGTCATGAACACTTACGGTATCACGGAGGAAATGTTCGATGAATTAAATGAACGTGGTCCTAGAAATGCAATGATTGGCACCTATCGCATCGTACAGCATCAAGTACAAGCAGTCAGCAATCAATCGGTAAGTGGATTTTTTCATAAACTAGTTAATGAGTAAATAAACGTTCGATTGGGGACTAGGATTAGAACGGCTGAAAAAACCACAATAATAAACGATGGTGAACTGAAGAACTAGTAGGAAGTTTGTGGGTAAAGTACTATCGAAATAAATACAAGAGGTATCTCGCCGAGCAATTGTTTCACTTTAAGCTGCTAAATTAAATGATTATTGATTTCTGAGATCACTTTTAAAATTGTTGTCTCACTTTAAGCTGCTCACTCAAAAGATTATCGATTTTTGAGATCACACGAAATATGGGGGAATGCATTACACTAGTCTGAGCTTTGAGTAGAGGTCACAGGTGCATGGACAATGAGCAACTGACTTTGCCTCATCGACATTGAGCAGTTGCAATCATTTCATCTACTCATTAAAAAAAATTCTTTACTTAGTGAATAACATTGGAAAAACCGGAAAAACTACTATTTCACAGAATAGCTGACCAAAAATGTTGGTTAGTAGTCGGTCAGTTTTTAGTTATCCTTTAACTATATTTGCTGATAATACGAAATATTTTAGCAATCCGAGTCAACACCGGTTACACCAGTACCTGATGTGGGACAAAAATCGCAATCTCGATTGTTAAAAAACAAAAGCAAAACGTGTACAATTGTATAGGAATCGATTTGCTGGTTCACTCTCGATAATCATCTCGCTGTAATAGTTCATGAATGCCTCCCGAAGTAAGCTCTCAAGTGAGCCGACCTCTCAGAAAAACTTGTAACTCGTTAGATCAGTCCTATATTGTTGATTGTAATAAAAACATGAGCGCTAGAAGATTCTCGTCCAATGACTGTCAACTGAGGGCCCAGTTAGGCTAAAGGCTGTCTCAGAAATCAGTCATCAATCAATAGTATTCATACGGGCCTAGTGTGTTTGTGTTTGTATGTGTGCATGTCGTTCTTCATATGATCTGCAACATTACAACAACATTATAATTGTCATTATTGTTGTTGTTTTTTTTTCACCACATAAAATCATCACCGAAATATCGATTGACACAAAATGATCTCAACTGCGAATTGTTCTCAAAAATTATTGGACAACTTGTTACAAGAACAGGCGCTCACTTTTTCATTCCAGAAAATGAACACAAAGTTTTACCAGCGATAACGATTTTCCAGCCCTTCTATAGCAGAAAATTTAAACATGACGAATTCTTCCCACGATCGACTTTTTATTGACGAATGACGAATTGTGTTTATAGGTCTATGAAATATCAATGGGGTTTCTCTTGTTTATAGTAAATATACAAACAGAATACTATGTATTCGACAAAGATTTAATTAATTGTCTTAGTAGCGGATGAAGGTTAAAACGACGCCGCATATTTAAAGTACGACGTTAGATGGTAGCACCAATAGCGTAACAAGATGCGTAAGACAGAAGCAAAACAAGGGCCTATGTTGGTGTGATGTATTGCACGTGAGCACCACGCAAAGATAATCGCCGGTTCGAAGCCCAGCTTAGTTCCAGCTTTTCTTCATTTCTCAGCATCCCGGTGGCTTTGTATCACATCGTACCATGCCATCATGAAAAAAACGCCACCAAATAAAAGCTGCAACGCTTAAAGTATCATGTTTCGAGAATATATCTTAATGTGGGAGAGATGAAAACTGCGGGAAAAAAGGATGAGTGAGATCACCTGTGTCACCTGTAGTCCCGTTGATCATCTAGTGACCCGGGCGGGCGCGGTAAATTTTCCATTTTTCCCTTTCACGTGCAAGAGTAGCCCAGTGGGTTCTGCTCGCTCTAGGAACTTGTCGAGCATCACATCTTTTTTCAAGGCTCTTTGTGAAGAACTCTGACCATCGGGTCGGCGGTCTTTCTGCAGTACGTTTGACATCCCTTGGAATCCAGTCACTAACGGCTCCTGTCCATCGGTTGTCATTCACACGCATTACGTGTTCCGCCCACCTTATCCTCGACTGTTTGGCGTACAGAACGGCGTCTTTGACTTTTGATCGTTTACGCAGGACGGAGCCTCGGATCCCTTCTCTTGTGTGAAACGGGATACTCCTAGCATCATCCTTTCGACGGCACATTCGACAACGCTGGCCGATCTTTCATCCTGCTTACGCAGCGACCTAGTTCTGACGCATACGTTAGGGTAAAAAGTATCGCGGAGTCGAAAAGGTGGGAACGGAGTCGGGTATTCTTTCTTCTCTTCACTACATCCTCGATGCTCTTGAAAGCACTCCAAGCCGCTCGTTTCCTGCTGTTCAGCTCTGGATCTAAGTCGTTCATCATATTGATTTCACGAACTAGATAGGCATAACTGGAGCATTCAGAGATATTCGTTCCGTTAAGCGTGAATGAGGCATTCGAAACCAATCCGTTTTTTGAAAACATCGTTTTTGTGAGACTTAATCGAAGACCAATCTTCCCACAGGCTGTATCAAAGTCGGCAAACATACGTTTCGCTCGGCTAATGCTTGGTGTTATAAGGACGATGTCATCAGCAAAGCCAAGATGGTGTAACTTCCAACCGTCGATTTTCATTCTCATTTTCTTTCCCATTCCAATGTTCGCATAACATTCTGGAGGGTTAAGGTAAATAGTTTTGGCAAGACGGTATCGCCTAGCCTAACTCCTCTTTTGACGTCAATGTTAATATCGTTGCAGAACAGTGATATCTCGGTTGTGAAATTTTTGTACAGCTCACGGTGAATCTTTATGTACTGAGTAGGGATTCATTGACTATTAAAGGCTTCCATGACTGCTTCTATCTCAATTGAACCAAAGGCCTTCTGTAAATGGATCAAAGTGAGACAGAGCGGTCTTTTGTACTCTCGCGATTCTTCAATGCGCCTTGTTATCGTGTGGATGTGGTCCATCGAACTAAATCCCTTTCGAAACCTTGCTTGCTCACATAGCTGTCCTTCGTCTAGTGTTCTGCCAATTTTGTTTAGGATAACTAGAGTAAAAAGTTTGTAGACGACAGACAGTAAACAGATTGGGCGATAGTTGCCGATACCGTGTAGGTCACCCTTCTTGAACAATAACACGCTTTTGCTGATCTGCTTGCTCACTGAGTAGGAACCTTGAATTTAGACAGGTAACGTGTGAAGAGCCTAGCCAGTGTGTTTACGAGGACTAGCGGAAGGTTGTTCAGGTGTTCTGGCCTTATCCTGTCCGGACCTGGTGCTGTTCGATTTTACACCGACGAGATGGCATGTCGGATTTCGGAAGGGAGAACCAGTGGTACAACATATCCATCCTCCTTTATTTCACATGACGGAAGGTGAACGTGGCTATCAAAGAGATCTGAGTAGTATTCGTGAATGATTTTCCCCATTGCCTTTCTGGACGCTGTAACTGTTCCGTCTGGGCGTCGGAGTGCAATCATTTTGATCATGTAATTGGCGAAGCTTCGGTGGGCTTTGCGAATGCTTTTCCAGCCTTTGCAGCTTCGACCATTAGTGCTGCTCTTCTGTCTTTAAAATCTTCTTTTATCGCCTGTCTGCACTGTCTTACAAGTTCGGACGTTAGTTGGCGGTTGCCTGCAGTTCGTGCGATTTCACGCTGGCGTATCAGTTCGAGTGTTTCTGTAGGCAGACGTCTCTTGATGACTTTCGAACTCTCAGCTTTCATAGCGCTAACGTGAAGATGTTGAATGAGCTGATCGTATTCCTCGTCGATGTTATCGACAACGGCATCTTCTCAACAGCCGGCTAATGAATTGAATAAGTCCCAGTTTACAGTGGTTCTAAGACTTCGGTTTTTGAATTTAGCGGCGTTTTCTCCTTTTCTCGAAAAATAGAATCTTGCACAAAGGAGATGGTGGTCTGATTCAATGTAAAATTTTGAGACAACAACAACATCGGTTAGGCAAAACTTTCTATTTACTATGATGAGGTCTATTTCTTATGGTGCTCTTCATTGGGAGACTCCTACGTCCAGCGTTGAGGGTGGACCTCTGGAATTCCGGGTTACCATGGGTAGTCTTGGTCGTTATGATGATAAACTCAGATGGCTTCTCACCCTGCTCGTTCCATTCCAATCCGTGGGTTCCAATGTGACGTTCTTCAGACGATCTCCTTGTTCCAATGTTTTTGTTGAAATTTCCAAACATGACCTTGAAGAATGTATGGTCATCTCTGTAGAACTTCTCCAAGTCTTTATAGAGCGCATCGACGTTTTCTTCGTCATAGTTTGTTGTCGCTGTGTAGACGACTACGATTTTCAAAGCCGGTATTGATCCACATCTTTTTAATCGTAAACGTGCGATTCGGGTTGTAAGCCGTTCAAGTGAATCGATGTTCATGTACAAACTTGTGTTGACGAGAACACCGACGCCGCCGACTCCTCTACTGTCGCATGTTTCGAGGAAGAGTTCTTCTTCGGTGTCATAGACGGCGTTGAATGGATGGCGTAGTCTCGTCTCGACCAGGTCGATGACGTCGTATCTTATCCTTCTTGCTAGCATGAGCAAGTCTTCTATCGAGGACTTGGATGCAAGTGTACGTGCATTGTAGGTACAGATCGTCACTATAGAACTTTGTAATCCAGGCAGCTTCCATTGGCCGTGAGATTTTAGCATCCTCTCCGTACTCGTCCTACCCAACGCTGCGATATTGGGGGCTTTTTCGGGGTCAGGGAAATAAAGCCCGTTTTTTTTTACTACGTTTAGCATTTTGATACGCACGTATAGCTGACTGGGCTCTGAACGTGGGGCCTGGGTATGCTCACGGATAGCTTGCCAGGCTCACTCAGAGTGACATGGAGCTTATTTGCTGGAGGCGACTTCTAACCGCCTCCTATATACTTCCCTGTCACTTGATTGCAGGCTTTTGGCCGAATTGACTCGTAGAACACAATCCGCATAATCGAGAACGCATCCACACATGCATGCATGAGTACGCCTGGCATATACAGAAAGTATGTGCAAATCGGCGCAGAAGAAACCGAGAGTCCATCCCCTGGATCCACCTGCGTCTCAAGGAAGCAAAGGTCGCTTTTAGTCCGCGATTAACCTCCTATCCGCCATCTGGGGC